CTTTTTACTTATAACTCTGCATAATTTTTTACTTATTACTTATGAATATTGCATATTTTTATACTTGTAAATAGAATTTAATGCCAGTAGGACTGAAAATTTGAAAATTAAAAGACTCAAATGGATATAGGCAGGTCACATAATAAGAGGAGATGATAAATGGAGTAAGAAAGTGACAAGATGGTATCCCAGGGAAGGAAAAAGGAAAAGAGGCAGACACCACACAATGTACCATGTCAGTTTGACCACACGGTACCTGGAGATCATCGTGATAAATTCCTGGTGAATTTACCACGATGGGCTAACTGACCTGACCTCATACTCATCTTATCATCCTCCACTGGTGCCCCGTGTAAACCATTAGCGCAGGCGGGTGCACCATACCATTATCATCCATTAAAAAAACTCTATATGAGTCGCATATTTCTTTAAATAAATTATTATATTGTATACAATAAATTTTACGTAAGTACAATACGCAGTGTTGTGTGCGGGGAACCGAACCCGCGACCCTATGAAAAGAGAGCACTTCCACTAAACCAGTGCACAATTGACGATTGTTAATTACCGCTAACGGTCGATAGCTATATACAAAACGAACAAAACAATGCGTCGTTGTGTTGGGGAACTTGAGCGGGTATTGTTGTGCCAACACAGCTCTGCCAGCACCTGGCCGACGGTAGCTTGATGGTATACTGAATGCCTACTTGAAAAAAAACATATTCCCATTATAAAATCAACATAAGATCTTTCTCAGTTTGACTGTACATGTATTTTATATATAAACCTTCCTCTTGAATCACTCTATCTATTAAAAACCGCTTCAAAATCCGTTGCGTGGTTTTAAGGATTTAAGCATACATAGGGACGGACAGACAGCGACTGCGACTTTGTTTTATACTATGTAGCTTCGCTTCGGTTCGCATGTATTGTATATATAAACCTTCCTCTTAAATCACTCTATCTATTAAAGAGAACTGATTCAAAATCTGTTGCGTAGTTTTAAAGATTTAAGCACACATAGGGACGGACAGACAGCGACAGCGACTTTGTTTTATACTATGTATTGATAATGTTTATTATATAACACGCAGCAGACATAACTGTATTTAATATTTTTTTTATTCTTCTTTACCTAGCTCTACACGCGACTTCGTCCGCTTGGAATTTAACATACATTTCTAAAATAAAAGGTTTTTGCTAAAATAAAAGTGACCTAAGTTACACCTTACTATATCAGCTACCTGCCAATAAAAGTCCCGTCAAAATCGGTTCAGCCATGTCAGAGATTAGCCGGATCAAACAGACAGACAGACAAAAATGTTATTTTTGTACCGTATTTATCATATGCATGTAGTAAAAAACGATTATTTCAATATTATAAACATACACTCCAATTTTATTTATATGTATAGATTATATAATGTTTATTATAGGTATATATAATAGTCAGTAGGTATAGCTGTATCTCAATTATTTTTTATTTTATTCCTTAAATTGTGTAATCAATATTTTCCAATGGAAATGTATGTGAATTTAAATTAATTTCACACACGTTTTATAACTACCCGCCACCGCACAAGCATATTTCGCGTGTTAACCCCGCACCGAGGGGTCCATTGTGCCCCTTTAATTGTCGCTGCAATCAACCCTCTCGCCGCGACTTTGTTTTAAGAATTGGGGTCCAAAGAGGTTGTTGATTTGAGGATTGTTCCGCTAACGACGGTGCATGCATACTAGTGCAGGCACATCAAAGCGCATGTACATCCGGCCGGACTGATGCTTACTTAACGTCAATTGTTATTTAAGGAGATTTTGTAATTAATTGAATTTTTATGTTTGTCGTTTATGTTAGTTGTTAATACCAAAAATGCACGTTTACCGCTAAAAATAATCCATTTATCGAATCTCCTCTGTTTCAAGACACTCTCCTTGATGTGAAGCCAAACCTCGAGGTCCTTGGCGTTGATATATCCAGTGACGTTCAGTTTTGCGGTCATTTGGAGGACAAGGCTAAAATAGCCTCAAAAAAGCTTGGTGTGCTCAGTAGAGTGAGACGGTATTTCACGGCGGCCCATCGCTTGCAATTATACAAGGCGCAGATCCGGCCGCGTATGGAATACTATTCTCATCTCTGGGCAGGAGCACCACAATACCAGCTACTTCCATTTGACCGCATTCAGAACCGAGCAGCCAGAATCATTGGTAATCAACGTCTATGTGACAGACTCGACTCATTTGGCTTTGCGGCGAGATATTGCATCTCTGTGCATTTTCTACCGCATATATCACGGGGAGTGTTCTGAGGAATTGTTCGGATTAATACCAGCTGCTGAGTTTCACCACCGTACCACCCGCCAGAAACTGAAATACCATCCTGATCATCTGGATGAATGGCGGTCCTCCACAGTGCGGTTTTTTAGACTTTTTGCCACGCACAACCACATTGTGGAATCACCTTCCAGCAATGTTATTTCCGAACCGATACGATATTGAAACCTTCAAGAAAAGAGCTTATTTCTTTTTAAAAGGCCGACAACGTACTTGCAGTTCCCCTGGTGTTGCGGGTGCTCATGGGAGGCGGTATTCACTTACCATCAGGTGAGCCGCATGCTCGTTTGTCCCCTGTGTTATAAAAATCTAATCTACTCTAAATATTTGAAGTAACTGTTCTATCTACCAGCAGATTACCGAGTATAGAAATGATAGATTTGGTTCAATATTGTATGTTAAATAATATTAATAACAAATTTGGATGAGTGAACTAGAAAAAAACAATCGATTGATTGATTTTTAAGGTCTGTACGTTAATTCAATTGTTATAAGTTAAATTTATTAATTGTTTTATGTTTATCTCATTGTTTACTTTTACTTTTTTATAATAAAATCACTCTACAGATTTTAATAAAATTCAACCTGAAGATAGATTGTATCACGGAGACCGAAATATGATAAAAAGACGTAGTTTCAGGTATATATGTCACTTATAAATACAAGTTTACACTTAGAAAGTGTACACTATTATTTTCTTTAGATTCGAACTCACAACCTAAAATCCGTAACGCACCAGTTAACCACGTCACACCATTCATTAATTACTAAAAACATATCTCAAAAGCATTGAAATTGGAGGGTGTTTCAATTCCACATGAAAAATCCATTGACAGACCGCACCATACACAAAACGCTTGCAAACGATTTGAATACAATACCGTAGGGAGATTTCAGCATATCAAAAGGGTAGTCATACAACGCTTTCCAATTTACTTAAAACAAGCACAATACAGCCTCTCGATCTGTGCCGCCGCACCGCTGTCACGCCCACGTCTATGATGCTGTGGGAGATTTAACGGGGATGGATATAGTTGGAAATAACGACAAGAATTTTACGAATTTCCTGGCAAGTGATGGAGGGTCGAAGGGTTTGCGATGATGCGTGGCTTCAAAGGCTTGCTGACAAGAAACGGGAGCGCCACCTAGGCAGTTCAGTACAGACTATAGTGTTCACTTATTTGTTATTTATGTCTTCTTGTATGTAAGTTGTTATCGACGTAATATCGGCTCGTTAGCCATAGCTCCACGTGTTTACTCCGCGGCGCTTGCGCAGGGAATCCCTTCCCTCTTGCGCACGGCGGTCCGTGTACGCTCGGCTCGAGACGATAGATAATAAACTACTAGTGTTTCCACATACACTACACAGACTACTGCCGATACTGCCCTTGTCGGGCCTGTGGTAGGCCAGGCCGCTCTCGTATCGGTTTATACAGCCACGAAAGCTGTTCACAGACCATTATTATTAATCTACCAGGTCGTAATACACAAGTACACAGGTTTTTTAGAACAAGTTCCGTTTCGTTCACTTATCTGAATCTTATTAATATTAAAATATATATCTGCCAGAAAAAAGATTTAAATGTCAAATAAAACAGTTCCTTTGCAAAAAAGCTTACTATAAAATTGAAGAATTCGTTAACGATAATAATGTTTTTATAGAAAAACTTTAAATCTATAGCACTGACAATATTATCTGATTACATTAATAATGAGTGCGTAGCGACTTCTATGTTGATTATCGCATGCCTCTTACTTGTTACACTGTAATTATTTATATAAAAAAAAACATCTATTAAAAAGAGCAACACACAAGTTTCTTGCTCATTCTACTTGTGATGAATCTGCATTCCGAATGAGTGGTAGAATCAAAATATGACTATTCAAAAGTGCTTGTAATGAGTTTATTTGAATAAAGATTATTTCTATTTCTATTTCTATTAGAAACGCCAAAGTTTGTAAGTATGGATGTTTACTACTCTTTCACGCAAAAACTACTGAACGGATTTTGATGAAACTTTACAGTAACAGCTTATACAAAGGAATAACATATGGGCTATGAATATCACGCTGGTGCACAACTAGTATTTTCAATAAATTATTTATAAACTACTGTAATTTCTGTAAATACAGCAGAAAGCGAGTAAGTTTCAAAGGGGTTGGAATTACCGTGTAACAAAGGGGTTGAATTACCGTGTAAATAAAGATTGTTACAATCATCTCTAAATTAATATTTGTAATAAAAACCATATATCAAAATTACTGTGAATAAGTAATTTGATGGCCTCGGTAGTAGCCTATCTTCTGAGGGTCGCTGGTTCGATTCACGTTCGCACGATACAAACATTGAGGTGGGTACAACTGGGTATAACTGATACAACAACTTTTGTATTCATGAGTATGATTGTTTATCGGTCTGGATGTTTTCTATGTAGATTATATATGCATTTACAAAAAATGTATTTAAGTATTTTTATCAGTTGTCTTGTATCTATAACACAAGCTCTGCTTAGTTAACCTTCCTGGGTTATTATTATTATTATATTTCCTGGAATGTTCCATTATGATGCCAACAAGTAACAATAACCAACAAAAAAAACATTTTCATTTTTGTATCTGCTTTGGTTAAAAATATACAATTTACGTTACATTATTTTTCCTTGTTGCAGATGTAACACATCCTCAAGATGCAGCCATTCCAGTCGAGCGGCCGCGCAGACGGTCCCCGGGAGTCGTCACCCGACCGGGCCAAATCTCCTGACACGCCAGCGCCAGTCCTGAACTTCTCTATAGCAAGGTTAATGGAACCAGACAGAAAGAAATCTGTATCACCGGAGCCACCTCCTCCTCCAGGTTTCCTCTCCTACGGAGCCCAACTATTAGATTCAGCATTCAAACAGTACATACCCTCAGCTAGGAGGCAGTTGGTATCTCATTATCCACTGCTGTATTATAGCCCCGATTTAGTATCTTTGACTTACGCTCACCAATTACATCTGCCAAGACCACCACCAGCGCCAACGTCTCCTGTCCAAAGACCTCCAAGTCCCAGACAACCAGCTGCTGATCACGCCGTATCATCAACTACAGGACCTACACCGTCTCCAGCAAAGAACAAGAGTTTCGCTTGTGGCGACTGTGGGAAGGTTTTTAATGCGCATTACAATTTGACGCGGCATATGCCAGTGCACACTGGTGCGAGGCCATTCGTCTGCAAAATATGTGGCAAGGGATTTCGGCAAGCGTCTACATTGTGCAGACATAAAATTATTCACACATCAGAGAAGCCCCACAAATGTCTGACTTGCGGGAAAGCATTTAACCGATCATCGACGTTGAACACTCATGCTCGTATCCACGCTGGGTACAAGCCGTTTGTCTGCGAATTCTGCGGCAAAGGTTTCCATCAGAAAGGCAACTATAAAAACCATAGATTGACGCACAGCGGCGAAAAGGCCTACAAATGCAACATCTGCAATAAAGCATTCCATCAGATCTACAACCTGACCTTCCACATGCACACACACAACGAACGAAAGCCATTCACGTGTAACATATGTGCGAAGGGTTTCTGCAGGAATTTCGACCTTAAAAAGCATACGAGAAAGTTGCATTTGGGTGTTGTAAACTCTAATAATGGAGACTCGTCTTTGGACACTCAAGATGAGTCTACGCAAGAGGCTACAACGAGTCCTGGAGAAGAGGCTGGAAGGGCGGCCTTCAGGCCTTTCTTGGGGTCTTCGTACCCTCGTCTATTAGACCCGGCACGGATGGCAGCGCCGAACAATTTCTTCTCTAAACTGTTGTGACCCGGCGCTGCTTACTACAACAATTTCGAACCTAATGAGTGAATTGATGTTGGATTTGATGTACCTATTAGTTAATAGAAAATTATTTATTGTGTATAATAAAGATTTTATTTAGTTTGTAGTATAATATTATGTGATAACTGTATATTTGTCGTTTAAATTCGTATCTTCTACATTTGAAGATGTATACACCCAGGAACATAAGAATACAAGAGTCAGAGTTCTTATCAATCAGGTCACAAAAAGAAAGAAAAAAATATCAACCTTATCAAGGTATATGGTGAGGGCAAGAGAGTGTGTTCCAATGCTTTTTAAAGTGACTTTCTAACTTATATAATACTAGCTGTACCCGCAACGTCGTCCGCGATTATTTTTTCATTATTTTGGTCAAGGTCACTATTTTAGTGATATGTACAACGCGTTTATTTTTATTGTATTCAACCATAAAGATAACTTTGAATTTCCATTTTCAACACCGTACAACCCTTTTTGCGCGTTAAAAAGTAGTCTGTCATTCCTCGGAGTCTAGAATATCTGCGTGCCAAATTTCATTTAAATTGGTTCAGTAGTTTTGTCGTGAAAGCGAGACACACAGACAGACAGACAGACAGAGTTACTTTCGCATTTATAATATTAGCAAGGATAAGACATAATATAAAGACTTTATAAATTATATAAGTCAGAGTTATAAGTCACTTTAAAAAGCATTGAAGTAAACCTCTTACTTCTCACTCTATATTGATGCAATAGGTCATGAGTTCGAACCTGGACGACCCATATAAAGCTTTGTATTTTAATATCTTTCTGTTTAACTTTCCTGCGATTGAAACAGCGATAACAAACCAATACCATATTCAAATATTGTTAGTGAAAATAGTTTAATCATCGACAATTGTTACAATATTTCTGAACACCCCATCAGGTTGGAGTCGTGAACATTAACTGCAATTGTAAATAGGTTTAAGTTAACTTTATTAGACAATTATGTAAATCATATTAAACTTTACCTATTTATAACGAATAAGTAAATTTAAACATAGTTTAAGTTCCTAAACATTAAACTCCAAACAATAAAACACTTGCTATAGATCCTATAAGTAGCTACCACAGATTTGGTACAAAATAAAACTTGTTAATTAATTTACAACCATAATTGCTTATAAATTGGGTTCTAAATTAACTTTTTTTAGGTGTATTTGACTTAAAATTTCGATTTTTATCAAATATCATTTAAATGCAGGAAGTTTCTGTCGATAAAATATTATTTTATAACATAAAGGCAGGTAATGTCTAGTGACAAACTTAGTATTCATTTATGGTACTTCGTTTAACTTTATCTATCTATATCTGTGGTATCTACGATCATCTACCTAGCTACCGTCGATACCATGCATCTGACGGTAACCATTTACCTTCAGATGGGCCGTATGCTTGTTTGTCATGATATAGTAGTATAATAAAAAATTGCAATACTTAAGTGGCAAATGTTAAATTTGATACATTCCAATGAAGAATTTCAAAAGTGGACCAGTAGCTAGAACTGGTAAAGAATGCAAATAAAAAAAACAGGATCCAGAGAACAATATGATTAAGCAAATTAATTTCTTTAATATGTTATTCTCCTCTTGAACTCCTTCTTCTATGTTCAATTCATTCACATATTCCCATAATCCAGAATAATTCACAGAACGCCATCTAGTGTCAATCTACACAGAACTTGTGTTATAGTTACTAGACAAGTAGTAGAAATACTTATTTTTTGTAAATATATAGATAAAATACATATAAAACATCCAGACCTATACAAACAATCATGATATCATGATACAAATGTTAGCATCGTGTGAGGAATCGAACCCGCGATCACTAGAAGAAAGGCAATGTATTTACCGCTAGATTACTGAAGCCTATTCAAAAATTACAATGCCCCACTCAATGTAATATAATAACTAAAATATATTATTAAAAGGAGTCTCTTTAGACAAGGTTCCGAAGATACTGGCAGCGTTCCCTCTTTGAATGGCTAGACTAATTTGTCCGAGGTAACTGCCAGCTCTTCGGTCTTCTGTGATGTCGACTAACCCTTTTGGTATTCCTTAAAAAGCCTCACAGCTAGGACCCCACGGACCAAGAGTCTCGACACCGAATGGAACAAAATCATATTCAGAGCCTAGACCCCTGTACTTACCTGCTTTAGTTTTTTCAGCCGCTTCACAACTGGCACCCAATGTTAATGTCCCAATTTTTCTCATTCATAATTTAAGAGCTACGCTCTTGTCGGTGGAGCTCTTGCCACTTTCCGCGATCTTCCATCATGCTCTTTAATTCTTGATACGACACGACTCCCATTTTGTCCTCAATTTGTTTGATGTAGCTATTCCTTGGTCTTCCCCTCCCTCTCTTTCCTTCTATTTTCCCCTCAATAATAATTTTCATGAAATCATCGTACCGTATCAAGTGCCCTAACATTTTTCCTTGTCTATTTTCTATGGTGTTCAATATTTGTCCCAATAAATGTCCCAATAACATTTTTAAAATTAAATCAATATAACATCATTCTTATCTGCCTACCCCATCTAAGACTACAGATAGCAGATACGAGAGAGCAGTCTTTCTCGAACACTCGATTGTCAAGAATCCAGAATATTCCATAGTGTTATGACCTTTTCTTTGGATTTACGAGAACTTGTTTTGAAATCTATACATATAAATAAACCTGGAGTGTCTGTTTGTAATATTGAAATAACCGTTTTTCACTACATGTATATGAATATAAACACGGTGCATACACCAAAATAACATTTTTTACAATTTTTGTCTATCTGTCTGTCGGTCTGTTTGTTCCGGCTAATCTCTGAAATTGACGGGACTAGTTCTTGGCAGGTATCTGATGTAGGAAGGAGTAACTTAGGCTACTTTTATTTTATTAAAATTAAATTAAATTCCACGCGGACGAAGTCGCGGGAACAGCCAATTGTACAATATAATTATTAATATACACGTAACGTTTTAGTGTGACGCAATATCATGTAATTAAATATATATACACATATATACAAACCAATATGTCTTTTTTTTAACTCCTTCACTATTACGTATTCACTATTTTCAGGTTGCGAACACTGATTAGATGTTTTGTTTTGTTTTTTTTTCACAATAGCATATGCTGGTGGTCACTCTATTCTCCCAAATTTGAATTTAAATGAATCTGTATTATTGTAAATATGTACAACATTAAAAAAAATACAAGCTGAGTTTCTTCTCAGTTTACATCTCGAAATCATTCCGAACTGACGGTAGATTTGACATACCATAGAGTCTGTAATAGACCTACATGAATAAAGATATTTTGAATGTTGATTTTGAATTTATTATCACTGATTATCAGGAATTCACTGATGTCGATTCCTTCTGGAAACCATCGTGATAAAGACCTAATGAGTTTGTCACAATGCGCTAACTGACCTGGCCAACTCATCTTGTTATCCTCCACAGGTTCCCCGCCAGCGTAAACTGTAAGCGCAGGTGGGTGCACCATCATCATCAGCATCCATTAAAAAACCTCTCATATATCATCACAATTCCGGAGGACAACTATATCATGCCTGTACCCTGAAATTCCACTGCCATCTCTCACCTCACTGTCTTATCTGATCCTTCAACCGAAACAACTTACAAAGAAAACTACTTGCTCACTGAAATAGGTTGGATAGAGGCAAATTACTTTGTCGATTTAAATAATTATTAAAATCATTAAATTACACATAAATATACATATAAATAAAATTGGAGTGTCTGTTTGTAATATTGAAATAACCGTTTTTTACTACATGCATATTAATATAAGTACCATACATACACCAATATTTTTTTTTTACAATTTTTGTCTGTCTGTCTTTTCCGGCTAATCTCTGAAATGGCTGGACCGATTTTGACGGGACTTGTTTTGGCAGGTATCTGATGTACTTAGGAGTAACTTAGGCTACTTTTATATTAGAAAAATAAATTTTAATTCTACGGGAACGAAGTCGCGGGAACAGCTAGTACAGTTATGAAGGTAGGTAGTTTATAAGATCAAATGGCAAAGAACGTTAAACGTCAATAAGTTGACAGTTAGCTGGCTATCATTGATTACAGCTATTTGCGATTATTGAGACACGGCGGGAGTTGTGCTCGACAGGGGCTGAACTGGCATAGAAAATTATAACCTTGATCCGCCCCGACTGGAGGGACTCTGGTTTCCAAAGTTTGTCACAGTTTGAGTTAACGACCGTTATTTTAGGTCACGTTCGTAAAATGAAGGTTTTCATTTGTCACAGTTTGAGTTAGACAACCGTTTTTCCAAGGTCACATATGTAAAATAAAAGTAGTGTAGCTCAAATATTTTCAAATAGAAACAGAAATAGAAAATCATTTATTCAAATAAACTTAATTTAAGCACTTTTGAATAGTCAACAATTTTTTTTTAAATCTACCGCTTATTCAGAACGCTGTCTTATCAGAAGAAGAATAAGCAAGACACTTATGTGTTGCTCTTTTAAACAATCATAGTAAGTTCTCACTTTACAAGTCGAAACGAGTGAATACAAACTACCAACCAGCACTAATTTTTTGGGTAAAATATAAATATATCATAAGATTAAATCAGTCGTAGTGAGAGCAGACCAGTCGCTATAAGCAGCACTCGTTCACGAGTATGACGGATGAGCCAGCCATCACTGCACTCGACCATATTTTAGGGAGCCCAATGACCTGACCCACCACCCCGCCACATGTCTGGACATTTTAGTGAGCGTGACTACTCATTCCACTCGACCACGTCACAGCTACAAAAATTACTATATGGTAGTTACAGTATTCACACTTTACATGAGGATGCATGCAGCAATCAATACAAAAGCCGCTACGCGCTATCATATATCAAGAAAGCAGTATGAAAAATAAATTATAACGTAGTCCGCAAATAAACTACTAAAAGTAGTGTAGCATAAATGTTTTAA